GGACCCAGATTCAATTCCTATCACCCACGTGGCAGCTCACAACTGTCTTTGACTCTTGTTCCAGGTGATCTGGCATCCTCACACAGATATACATTTAAGCAAAACACCAAATGTACATAAAATACAAATAAAGTAAAAAAAAATGGTTTAAAAAATAAAATAAAGACGGGCGTTGGTGGCGCACGCCTTTAATCCCAGCACTCGGGAGGCAGACGCAGGCGGGTCTCTGTGACTTCAGGGCCACCTGGTCTCCAGAGCGAGTGCCAGGATAGGCTCCAAAGCTACACAGAGAAACCCTGTCTCGAAAAACCAAAAAAATAAAAAATAAAAAAAACCCCAAATAGTAAAGATGAATTATTCAGAGAGCAGATAATGATGCAACTTCTAATTACTTCCTGTAGATCAATTAAATTCCTAAGAGTAAGGTGAGATGCTCACAATCTGTCTCCTCTCTCAGGAAGGATGCGATCTTGTTAACTGATGCTTTTGACTTCACGGATCATTGTTTAAATTCGGCACTCGGCTGTTATGATGGACATGTCTACGAACGTCTGTTTGAGTGGGCTAAGAAGTCACCAGCCAATACAAAGGTAGTTGAGTGCAACTCATTATAAATTATGTAAAAGAGCAGAGAACAAGCAGTAAATATATCTTCATGTTTTCCCATTTTAATCGATTCTGCTTGGGTTGAAAACTGGCACAGAGCATCTGTTTAAAATACTTTCAGAGAGTACAAAAAAGAAACCAGGGGTGCGGTTTGGCAGGAACTGAAATCAGCAAAATGCACAGCTCAGAATGTGATAGGGGCATTAAGAGAAAGGCTCATTTCTAAATCATGGCTTGACATACCCAAAGGCACACACATATAGCAGCAAGCTGACTTTTACATTAACAAAACTAAAATAAATCATAGCAGTGGTAAACCATCTTATTTTCAGCCTTTTTTAGCTCCATTTTATGCAGATAAGAGTGCATAGTCAGAGGTGATAGGAAATTTGAGGTATTGCCAGTTATCCCAGCCTCACTGGGCAAAGTGAAGAACATCAACCGGTACTGTGTTTCTAATTTAGGGAACCCATATTGAAGAGCAGATTTGACACAGATGATCCCAACAAGAGACCCATCTATTTTAGGCACACATGCGAGTTGTTTCACAGTGTTGGGTATAGTAGACTTTATAAACGAATGCTTGTCAGATGGTGAACTTTCTCTTTAGTCCAGCTTCAGAAAGGTATCTTAACAATGACCAACACTTGGGCTTTCACTCACACTTAGCCAGGTATTATTAGACTTGTTCTTGACAGTTTGTATTCTGTCACACATCAGAGCTTAGCTTAACATTATCATCCAATGTCATAACCTCCAGAACAGGTGCCAGACATGCCAGTGTATTTCAGTCAAGGGTCATCCACAAGAAGACATCGTTTTAGGAAATAGGAACAATGTACCTACACATTCACTGCTCCTATGGCTAACCTACTTCTAGTACATTACTTTTCTAATGATGATTGCTGTGTCCTCGCTAATGTTTAAATCCTGGCATAAAAGCAAATCCAGTCTGCTTCCCGTGCCTCAAGAGAGACCTAAGTCCTTTGCTTGGTACTCTGTAGAACCACCACAGCTTTCCCTGTTCACCTGTCAGCAAATGCTGAGACACATAGCTCAGACCTGTTTTATTGGTAGCACAGGAAAATATTCCTAGAAAACTGCCGCAGAAGATTCTGCCTGCTCACATGAAATCACATCCAAAGTGACTCCCTATGGAAGCAAGAAGGAATCATTGGGGGGTCATTCCAAACCAAGAACCCCCATTTTTAGTGTTTGTTTAAGGGTCTTGTGTAGCCCAGGCTGGCCTTAAACTCCTGCCTCCCAAATGCCAGGATTACATGTGTACATCGCCACCCCAGCAAGAATCCTATTCTCTCAATAACTATATTGTAAAAACATGCCAAAGAAATAGTGAGAAGTGTTAAATACAACTGTTTCATTCATTCAAAGAATATTTATAGTACAATGGTGGTGTATTATTATTGAAGAAACAATGGAGAACAAGGATGTAGACCTGTGTTAACGACCTTATAGGTTTTTCTTTTTTTTTGCTTGTTTTTCTAAGATTTATTTATTACACATACAGTGTTCTGTCTGCATGTATTCCTGCATGCCAGAAGAGGACACCAGGTCTCATTACAGATGTTTGTGAGCCATCATGTGGTGGCTGGGAACTGAACTCAAGATCTCTGGAAGAGCAGCCAGTGCTCTTAATCTCTAAGCCATCTCTCCAGCCCCGAGGACTTTATAGTTTTACTATAAAAGAAAAGGAGATAAGCAAGAATAGTATGGAAGACTAGAGTTTAGCTATGAAGAAAAGAATGCAGACATTGCATTAGACAGTGATGGGAAAGCCTGTTCTGAACAATATACCAATCTGATTCTACTTTCTGGTTCCTTGCTTTGTGGTTCATGTTCAATTTCAAAGAGCCTCAAATAGTGAAGGTTTTCATTTGTATTAAATTCTGAAAACAAAGAATAAGCTGTAGGTTTTTCTTTTTATCAGCCACCTGCGTGCACAGTTTAAAATCTACCTAAGAAATGAGGCCTTTTGGAAAAGTGTTTACTATATGTTCACACAAAATAAGTTTTAAAAATAATTTGAAAAATTAAGAATCTTAGGTAATTGCCATGAGGTGCTGATACACACCTATAATCCCAGCACTTGGGAGGCAGAGAAAGGCATAAATCTCTGTAAATTCAAGGCCATCTTGGTTTACAAAGGCGTTCAATGACAGTCAGGGCAGAGAAACCCTGTCTTGAAAAACAAAACCAAACAAAAAATAGTCTTAGGTAATGTTACTCTTTTAAAGTGAAGTACTTAAATTTTAAAGTGAAGTCATTAACTCTAGAAGTATTCTAATAATATGATTCCTATAAATATAGGAGAACCCTGCATATGAGAAATACATCCGACCCCTGTTACAAAGCTGGAGACCCAAGCTGTGAAAAGCCAACTGTATTCAGGATCAAGAAGCACCATGGTGGTACTATAGCATATACATACAAAGAATTAAAGCTAAAGCAAAGGGTGGAGTGATTAATTCAACTTGCTTAGTAAGTCGGTACATGAATGAATGTTCATCATATTACTCTACTTTTGAGTATATTTGAAATTGCCCTTTGTCCATTTGTGGCATGTATTTGGTTAAATGCTGGAACTTTGCTTTAAATACAGCAAAAGTCAATAAACTCATTAGGTACTACTTGTGTTGTTTATTTATCTAGGGAAAGCTGAGATTGAAAAGTGTGAGTCATGTCAGCAGGCACTGTACCACTGAGCTACCCCTGTGACCCACAAAAATACCTTTAGCATTTACACTCAAGTTTACAAAGACACACATGCAGCCCTTCAAAGGTAACTGGATGTGCTATACTCTAAATAAAATATAAGGGCTCAGAATGCAACATACCATTTTTCAAAAGTTAACTCTTCCACAGTAAAAATTATTTAAGATTTCAGAAAGAAACTGGATTATCTCAATATATCCAAATATAACCAAACTGCATTCTTCATTTTGTTTTCAACTATACAACAGCATAAAACAGTTATGACATAGAATGCAGCTAAGTGAGAAGCACTTTCTTAACTAACAAGAACAAGACCGGGTAGATCCCTAGGACTGAGGGGAAAAAAAACAAGGAAAATTTAAAAATCCTGCTGGCTGCTTTTATTCATATAAAAGCAATCATTTACATGCTAATAATTAGTAAACCAGAGAAAATTTGCCAAAAGCTAACTTCCCTTTTGGGAGAATGGAGACAAGGAAGAGAACTCAGAAGTTTTTCTTTTTCCCCAAATTGAAACTAGTATTACTCCTACTTCTACAACTTTAAAATATATATATATGTATATATATTATTTTTAAGTGTGTGTGTGTGTGTGTGTGTGTGTGTGTGTGTGTGTGTGTGTGTGTGTGTGAATGGTGCCAGAGCTGCCTAGAGCTGGAGTTACAGGTAGTTGTGACTTGCTGATGTGGGTGCTGGGCACCAAATTCTAGTCCCATGCAAGAGTAGCAAGTGCTCTTAACCCAGAGTCCTCCTCCACAACAGTTCTGAACCCAAATCATCTTACTTCATGTTGACTTCAGCTAGCTCCATAGCACATGACTGATTTGGGTCTTTACTTAGGAAACCATATATCAATTTACAATAGGAGTAAATGTTCCAGACAGTTCTCACCAGTTCATCAATATACAGAACTATAGCAACCTGTCAATAACATTGAATTATCCTAGCTTGAAGATGAGGTAATTATGGGTTTCTTGTGTGTGTATATATGTGTGTGTGTGTGGGGGGGGTGTAATTTGGCAAATCTTAAATTTTCAAAGAGACATGTAAATAAATATTTTCAACTTCTTTTCAAAGGGAAGAATCTTGGAATAATCTCAGAGAAGAGAAAAAGAGTATCTTGTCTGCCCCAGGGCCAAAACCACAGAAGCCCACAATTTCCTTAAAACAAGGAAGTTTGTTATACAATGTTCACAAACTAGAAAGTCTCACCATAATTAACACACTCCTTCTTATGAGAAACTTTCAAGCAACAGAATCACATCAACTCCGAAACAAGATGACAGTGAACTAAGCAAATGTACATACATTTTCCCAAGTGTTTCCGATCCTTCACTGCAATTTATTTCTTTGCAGAGTTGAACTTAAGTTTGATAAAAAAAAAAAAAAAACAAAAAAAAACCAAAAAAAAACCCATACATTTGTGGCTACCACAATACAACAGAATAAAATGGCGGGAGTCATTTTGTCCCCATGTGCAGCACAAGCTGGAGTGAGTCACATTCATAGCTGTGGCAGTTGAAAACCCTATAATAGTCCCTGTAAAGCCTATCTGAAAATGGTTTTGCACTCTTTAGACAAAACTGCTTATCTCCAGTGACACACCTGGCTTTATGAATAAAATCTAAGGTTCCACTGAGTCCTGTCAACTCGATTACAAATGTGCTATAAACAGTTTAATTGAGGCATAGGCAATGCATACTTTTGACAAAGAATATGATTTCCCCATTATACAGCAATAAATACAACCCTTAATGTTCATACTCCATTTTTTATTAGATTTTTCTTTCCTGGTAGACAGTACACTTGGGAATAAAACTGTACCAGGCATAAGGTTTCTACCACAGGGACATTTTATATTGAGAATCCAATATAAATATTTCTAATCAGACATTTCAATGGCTACAGATATTTGGTTGCTTGATTTATATGCATAGAAAGAAACAGTTGTCAAAACTGTAGGAAGCAGTCCTTAACAAGTACTGGCAGATGACTGGCCAGTTTTCCTTTAAAACACTACTTGCCTACTGGTCTGGAATCGAGCTCACCCTACATGATATTCTGATTTTTTTTTCAAAGACATCACGAATAGTCTGCTTAAACTTTCATTACTATTTTTAGCCTTCCAGTTGAGTTAGGGACCACATTATCAGAAATCATTTTAGCACTGTTAAGGGTAGATTATATATCATAATGATTTTCAGATCTCTTTTTAAAAAAAGGTTTCTGGACTCTGAACAGCACATGCATACTTGGGAACAAAACAGGGAAAAGACCGTTCACACATGAAACTTCCTTCTGGTCCTCAATGCCTTCAAATAAATACAAATATTAAAAGGGGGGCACACTATGATTTAAAAAACAACAGTCTCTTCCATGTCCCCCCAAAAAACATGAGCTTACAGGATGTTCTCCCCAAGGCTGATAATCAGTCATCTGTCTTCCGGGCCAGTCTACAGAAAGTCCAGTTGTGTTCTACTGTGTTTTCATTGGCCCGCTCGCTCATGTGATGCACTCGAGTGTTGCGGATTGTGAAACCTTGCTTTGTAATGTATTCCATCAGGTGGACCCGGAGAGAGACTTCCTGGTGATAATCACATGGTCCAAAGGTGAAGGAAACCTGGCAGTCTCTGGTGTCCATCATGTGCTTATTCCACTTGGTGAAATAGTTTGAGATGCCTTCTAGTAAGGAATGGACCTTGGTGGTGATGGTTAATTGGGTTATGATGACAGCCACAGGATTGGAATATTTAGAAAGCTTCCGAGTACTAGACAGCTCTACAACTTCTTCAAAAGTATCCATAGGATACAAAGGCTTAGGGTCATTGAGACATTGAATCAAGGGTTCAATCTGGTAAAAATCAGCTTCTTTCCGAAGCAGATCAAATTCCTTAAAATCCAGGGGGAGAGTCAATTCTGAAGTTCGTAAGAAGTTGAGGACATATCGGAAAAGAGGTCCATCTCGATCAATGAAGTAATTGCCTTGAGGGTCTCTGGCTGTGGGGAAGTCCCCCCCAAACATAGCTCCAAGCATGGAATCTGGATACCGCGTCAATGTGGTAAGGGATGTTGTGTACAAGTGTCCACCTACATTCAACGTGACTGGGTCAGTCATCTGAAATTTAAAAAAAAAAAAAAAACAAAACAGTTATTATCAGAAACCTTAAAATCTTAACTTCAACAAATTAAGAAAATCAATACCAATAAGCAAGGATAAGACCCTTTTGAGGGCTGGAGAGATGGCTCAGAGGTTAAGAGTGCTGTCTGCTCTTCCAGAGGTCCTGAGTTCAATTCCCAGCAACCACATGGTGGCTCACAACCATCTGTAATGAGATTTGCCCTCTTCTGGTGTGTAGGCACGGATGCCAGAATACTGTAAACATAATAAATCTTTAAAAAAAATAAAAGACCCTTTCAAGCTATATTTGGCAGAACTAAGGTGCAAAATGGCTTTACTTAAAACTCAGGAGAAGGGCTTCAACATCTGCTTTATTTTTTTAAGATTTATTTATTATGTATAGAATGTCCTGCCTACGTGCCAGAAGAGGGTACCAGATTTCATTACAGATAGCTGTGAGCTGCCATGTAGAAGCTGGGAATTGAACTCAGGACCTCTGAAAGAGCAGACAGTGCTCTTAACCACTGAGCCATCTCTCCAGCCCCCCTTTCTTAGCTTTGCTTTTAAATCAAATAAATCCAATCTTTTAAAAGTTACTCTACTCCTGCCAGGTGTGACCTTTAGTCTCATACAGTCAAGTCCAGAAATCTGAAGAGGTTTTCGGTGAGATCTGCCTGCCTCTTCTTCCCTAATGGAATTAAAGGTGTGTGCCACCACACTTGATAAGACATTCAGATTTCTAAATTTAAAAGAAGCTAGAATAAAAATAATATAAGAATAATCTGATAATGTAAAACAATTAACTTTGGGATTTTTTTGGGAGCCCTCAAATGAGTCATGAAATGATGAAATGTAATTTTTTTTTTTTTTGAAACAAACTTTCACATAACTTACTCTGGCCTCATACTTACTGTGTAGCTAAGGATGGTTTAGAATTCCTGATCCTCCTGCCTCTACCCTAGTGTTAAGATCACAGGTATGCACCACCATCACACCCAGCTTCAAAATATATATAATGAGTGTGAGTGTTTTGCCTGCTTGTAAGTATGTGTACCTCATGCAGGCCAAGGGTATGGATGGATCTAGAAATTGGAGTTACCGATGGTTGTGAGCCACAGGCTAGATGCTGGGTACCAGACCCAGGTCCTCTGCAAGAACATAAGTGCTCTTAACTGCTGAGCCATCTCTCCAGCCCCAAAATGTATCTTAAAGACAAAAAATTTGTTTAGAATCAATCTTAGTAATTCTTCTCATGGAAGCAATGATTTCTTTTTTTCTTTTTTCCTCTCTTCCTTCCATCCTTCCTTCCTTCCTTCCTTCCTTCCTTCCTTCCTTCCTCTCTTTCTTTTTCTGACACAGGGTTTCTCTGTATAGCTTTGGCTGTTCTGGAACTCACTCTGTCCACCAGACTGGCCTTGAACTCACAGAGATCCTCCTGCCTCTGCCTCCCGAGTGCTGAGATAAAAGGTGTGTGCTACTACCATCCTGCAATTTCTTTTTCTTTTATGGTTTTTGTTTTGTTCAGGCAGCATCTTACTATGTAGATAAAGCAGGCCATAAACCCACAACCCTTAGCACTCCTAGGTGTTGACATTACAGGCCTTTGCCACCATGCCAGGAAATAAGTTCCCAACACTAAATGAAAATATATAAGGTTTAGTTCACACAATCTAGCCTACATTCTATCCCCAAATTACCACATACCCAAGGGCTGGTAGCAGCTTCAAATGTCATAATCTGATTGTGTATACAGTTTTGTAATGCTATTGTTGCAATCTGACCTTTAATTCTGAGAAGGGAGCTTCTCAAAATAACACACCTTCAGCTTTAGAAATTCTATTTAAGAAAAAATAAATCAAAGCTAGTCTTCAGGTTCTAAGAAAGCAAAATATTTCTTACCAGATGAAGAAGAAAATGGGGAGACATGGACACATGTGAAAACTGCAAGTGAGAAGAAACTCCTCCCACCTTTAGTCCCTTTACTATAGCAAAGCACTTTCATTCCATTCTCCCCAGGCCCTTTAGACATTCCATTCTATGAACAGAGAATTTAAAAGTAACATACACCAAAGATCAAAGCATAATGGTCTGTCTGATGTTAGTGGCTAGCTAACGTAGGTGATAAATAGGCAGAGAGATGTCCAGTACCCATGTCAGAGTGAGTGGCTCATAGCAACTCCAGGGATCATATGCCCTCTTCTGGCCTCCAAGAACACCACACTCACTGCTTCACCCGCACATAATAAAATAAGGAAATTTAAGTTGTTTGGAGAATTTTTTGTTGTCTTTTTTTTTTTTTTTTCTTTCCCGAGACAGGGTTTCTCTGTGTAGCTACTCAACCAAAAACAAACACGTAACCATGACAATGGAGAATAAAGGCTATTCTGCCCGATGTAGTAGATCAAACCTCACAGACTGCTCACATATGGTCCTGTCCTGGAACTCGCTCTGTAGACCATGCTGGCCTCAAACTCAGAGATCCACCTGCCTCTGCCTCCCAAGTGCTGGGATTAAAGGCGTGCTCCACCACTGCCAGAGAGACTTTCACTAAAACATTAAACCAAATAAAAATGCCCATTCCAAATACATCTACACAAATTAGATGGAACTGCACAAATTCATAGTTTTCGTCCTTGTAAGATAAGCCTATAAATGTGCAAAGAGAAAGATATCAAAATTATTTGTCAGTCTTCAAAGTGCAACAAGAACCACTCACCATATAGCCCCAGTCTCCATTATCCATCTGCTCCAGCACTGCGTCTTCAGGAGCCCAGAAGCCAGGAAAATTCTGAAAGAAGAAAAACAAACACATAACCATGACAATGGAGAATAAAGGCTATTCTGCCCGATGTAGTAGATCAAACCTCACAGATTGCTCACATATGGTCAACTAGCAGCTACATCAGAGCAAAGATGTGGGAAGAAAGCCACATCGTGCTATGTCCTTACTCCTGGAGCCCATTGGGCACAAAGAACTAACCTATATTGGAGAAAGAAGAAAGGACCATTCTGAGTCTATCACTCTGGGCTGGCAAGATGGCCAGCAGGTAAAGCTGCTTACCTGAAAACCTGAGTTTGATCCTGGGAATCTTCATGGTGGAAAGAGAAAACTGACTTCCATAAGTTATACTCTGACCTCCACACACACAGTCACATGCACCACCACATATAATCGAAATTCTGACAAATGATGCCACTGTTCTTGGAAAATATAATATAGATTTTCAGGGAATGTTATGATTAGGTCTACAACCTTACATTGATTCAGACCTATAAAATGCTCTACATTAAAAAAGTCATTGGAGGTAAAAGGGGGGAAGATTTCTTTGGATTGGCAAGCAGGTCAGTTGTGTAAACCAAGCATCTCAGAAAACACTGAATATCATGAGCTTCAAAAGTAACCGTCACTTCCCAAGAGAAAAACACCAGGATATTATTATTTTGTAATGTACAAAAACCAATCAGACTTAATAATGAAGTATTTCTCTTTGTACATTAATCAAAACAAACAGAAACTGATTTAAATTGTTAAGGCACAATTTGGTATAAAAAGAACATTACAGACCTGGCTGAGGGTCACTCAGCCAGCACCATGGAAAGCCAGTCTTAGGCCACTAGCAAAGGCCTGTGTGCTAATGATGCCGGCTTCAGTCTGCTTTTATCTCCAATTCCAGAGCATGCCACAGTTCCCCAGCTACTCAACTGCCTTCATCAGTTCCGTCTCACACACTCTGTTCCCAAAATCAACCTGCAAAGCAAACTGCAGAGCAAATTTCAAAATTGCTAGCAAAGATGCCAAGAAACATGGACCTATCATCCTTCACCCAGGAAAAGCACCAGCTTTGTATGTGGTCTTTGAAGATCCTTTTTTTCCTACTTTTAGCAGAATCTGGTCCGCATTTTCAGAACAAGAACAAGCTCTGGCTACAGAAGATCACAAAGGCTCTTTCTCAAAAGGTCACTCAGGCATGTAGAGAACATTTGCATAGCACAGCAGGGGCTGAAATCAGAGCCTGCAGCAGCTATTTCTCTACCTTTCTTTACAAATTCTTCAAAGCAAACAAGCTAAAATGTGGACTGAGGAGATGCGTCAGCTGTCATCCTTTACTCTCAGCAGCTAGATATGGATGATCAGGCCTCCATGTACTATAGCGAAATGGAGCAAATGCAAAACCAGAGCTGTTTTACCTTTTCATTCTCTGATTTACTCCACAAACCTCATGTGATAGATGGAAATGGAAGGTTTTGGTTTCATTACTGATAATAACAAATCAATGATGGAGTAAGTTAAAAGGCATTTCCCAAGACTCAAAGCATTCTTTCCCCACTGCCTCAATAATCATTCAAACAAAATTTACTTTAGGTCCACTATCATGGGATGAGGGAGCCCATGTGAAATACAGATACACAGGAATAAGAAAGTATAACCTTGACTTGGAGCCTTCAGACTACAAAGGCAACATGCAACAACTAAAGCCCACAATGTAATTCCAAACTGCTGTGTAATAGGATGGACTGGCGGAGTCCTCAGGAGGAAGAGACCTAGGCTCCAAATGGGAAAATGTAGGGCTTCAGAAAATAGCTCACTCAGTGGGACACTGAAAGAAAATGTGCACAACCTGAGAAGACTCTAGAATCAAGCAGATGTAACTGTCTTTCCACTGGTGAGCACACCCCATTTAGTTATAAAACAAAGAGGCAGGAACACCTGAACAAGCTTGTGTTTTCTGACTCCTAGTCTAGAGTTTTCCAAAAGCCCCTCCTATAGTAAAAATTCAAAGAACAAAATCCAAATAAAACAAGAAACTGAAAAGCATCAACTTTATACTCCCTGTAGCCAACTATTAACCCCATCTACCCGACACTTTATTCACAATATTACAAAAACTTAGGCTAACTAGTCATAATGAGTCTGAAAAAATTTCCACTACTAAATAAAAATGGCAAGAACCTACTCATTAGTGTGACTAATGGCTGCTGTCCATCTTAAGCAAAGGAAGAGTTCCAGTTCATGAACATTCAAATGGCTAGTGAAGAATGGAAGCCCAAAACATAAGAAAATTATCAGACAACAATGCCACTGCTACTATGCCAGGACTAACCTTTCATATTTACGTCTTCACTTTTAAATCAAAACAAGATAACTTCTTGTGCAAACATTAAAACAAAACAGAAAAAAAAATTTAGATGTTTCTGAATCCCTTCCACAATAAAAGTCAATGTCTGGCTACAAACATATAATGGACCTCAAGCATAATAGTCAAGGAAAGCAGTCATGGGAATGTACACTCCTTCCTTCCTGTCTGCCTTCTTTTCTTCCTTTCTCCTTCCCTTTCTTCCCCCCCCTCCTTTTCCTTGTGTGTGGGGGTTGGAGGCTGGGGCACTCATGCTATTATGTGTGCCTTTTACTATCACGCTAGCTCCATGATCCAAGCCCAGGATCACAGAGCCTTATACATGTATGTAAGATACATCAAAATAAAATGAGACAGTCACTACTAGTCACTTCCAATATAATTAAGATACCTAAAAAAATAAATAAATTCTTCAATAATAAACTCAAAAAGTAAAAAAAAAAAAAAGGTAGTCTTGATTCACTTAAAATTGATCTCTGCACCTTGCTTGTAAACATCTGCTACAGAAGAGCATCTCTACAAAACTTGAGAGACAGAGAGCGAGGCAAGACTCTTGCTTACCCAACAGCCAGGTTCTGAACCGATGACTATCAGAGACATCTCAGACATGGATGCAATAAAACGCAACCCAAAAGACTTTCTAGAACAGCTTCAGTCTCTCCCACTGAACCCTTTCCCAGGGGTGCTAACAATTCACTTCCTTTTCATCTTCTCTCCCATCCGACCAATCTCAAGAGGGGACTTAATGAGAAGTTTAAATAACCACAAGCCAGACAAAAGAAGGCCTTCAAGTGGGCATCAAACAGGCCTGTTTTACTTGAGGGGAATGTCAAGAAATACTTTTTCATAAAAATCTGTGAGACATTCCTCATCGCATTCCTTTAAAGGTACTTCCCTCACTAAAGATCATTCTTAGGGCAGTGACTACAACCAAACAATTATAAAGTTCAAAGAAAGGCCTTTTGACTTTGTAAAATCAGTTCACCTGAAAATACCTTACCTTTGATACAAATAAAATTCATGGCCCAAAGACTATAAGGTGACCCTGAAGTCCCCTATGCTTAGGCTTCAAAGGTTATTATATAAACTCTGATAGCATGCTAGGTAGTTAAGAAAAATATATCCTGAAGAATTTCTAGAAGCCTGAAAGACATTATGAACTGACTGCCCCAGTGAATCTGAAGAATGCACAAGTCAGTAAGCTAACAACTCAAAGCATTTGAAAATCCCCAGAGGTATCCTTCTCACCACAGCATAGCTGCTGTCAGGAGCTATGGTAAATTAACACAAATATTGTAGACTTACTTATCCTATAGACTGAGGCTCCCCCAGGGCAAAAGTCCTACTCCCATGCAACAGTTTATGTGCTGTAATGCAAACCTCCAAATTTGAAGGAGTAATGATACCACTGTAATCACTTCCTTCCCAGTGTTTCTGGGTGGCCCTTTCAAGTGCTCTTCTACTGAGACCTTTGTGCCTGGTATCCCAAAAGGAAGATTCAGTAAATTTTCTCCACCTATACTTACCTTCCAAATTGCCTTTGTAGTGAGTTTCTCTGTTCTGGGAAACGTGGGTGTTTGAAAGTGAAATACTTTTTATAGTAGTTGGTTCAGTGGCATCTAAAGGAGTTGTCTGAGTTAACATCCACATACAGGCCAGCACAAGTTGCCAAACACACAGGATAATGGGATTATAAAACTAAATTACTGATAACTAAACCAGAGATGAATTTTTTTCTCTTTCTCCTCCTCTCTCAACCATGTGGGCTAGAAGAAAGGAGCTGAAGGCAGAAGTAGAAAGTCTTACAAGAAATTATCAAACCAAACCAACAGAACACACACTCTCCAGCTAAAGTGTTGTCGGAATCCAAAAAAAAAAAAAAAAAGAAAAGAAAAGAAAAGAAAAAAATCACAAAATCCCATTTCCCCTCAGTTTCCACTAAAATGGGCTATTATGACCTTTCCCCAAAGTAGACACAGCAGGTAAAACTGACTGGCAGGGCAGCAATGACTTTCCGAAGTCACTGTGCACCCTCCCAGCAGAGAAGAGCTACCGAGGAGTAAAGGAGAACCTGAGGAAATCGCTCTTTACTCCTGGAAGCATAAACAAAATTAGAGTATCAAAGTCAGGCAGAGTGGGCAAACGTGGATGTGGATGTGTCAGTCTGTGCTCCCAGTCGCCCAGGCCCTCCTTTCCCAGGAGTTCCCGCAGGGGATGCTGCTATGGGAAGAACTAAAGGTAAAGGATGTCCCAGCACTCACAGACACAACAGACACGTGAGCTCTCATAACTTCTACAAAGCATGACTCAGGGTTGTCTCCAAGATAAGCAGAACACAAGTATATGTGCTCCATTTAAAACAGACCCCAGCTATTAAAATCCAAGATGTGCTGAAAGATCATAGGAATGACCATAAGACCACTGTATGTGATACTGCTTCCGCTAAAATATGCTCTAAGAAAATTAGAACCACAAACCTTATAGATGGCAACATCTATGGCTATCTTTCTATCTAAGGCATTACAAAAAAAGCTAAGAATCTGTAAGGGTAACTGGTTTTCAAGGGTGATTCTCCCACCCTACCTATCTGCCTACCTGGACCTTTGCTCTTTTGAAAACACTTCTCGGTTTCAGGCCTGTGTTACCGCAGCATTATTCTCATACTTGAATATTTGCAACAGAGAAAAAGATGAGCCTGCCGAGAGGGATACGTTGGAGACGACAGATGCTTGGGATATCCCAAACATTCTTAGCCAAACCACATCACCCCTGGTCTACTAGTTAGCCAAACACCTTGCAACACCAAGTAACTACAACCGGGTTTATCAACTTGCTGTGTACTGAACAGAAACATGACAACTTCAGCAGAATATCCAAACAGGATCTCAGTCACGTTTCGTTTCTCCGTCCCACCCCCAGACACAGTCTCCTCTGCCATCGCCCAGCAGGTGCTGCAGGGGCACCGCAGGACCTCAGCATGGATCCCCTCTGACACCCAACACTAAAACGCCGTGACATCCCGAAATCCCAGCAGAAAGCTGCAATCTGTGCAGGAAACCCCAAAGGCAGGGCTCTAAACTAGGGCAGTGCCGACTAATAAGCGCCACTCCCCAAAAAATAATCCTTTCCGCGCAAAGCTCGGGGGTCCC